GCTCAGAGGAGCTAAGATGGAGTCTTTCAGTTTCTAATGCTGCATTTAATGAACTGTCCTTTTACGTACAAGTCGGACCCTTAATATAGAACTCACAAGATAGGGAGGATCATTTCTCAAAATTCTCCTTGGTCTGAAACAATTTCGCTAACCATACTCTTCACGCCATCTGCAGGGAGACAAAAGTCCCCACTTCCAAATGACCAATTCTTTCTGAAAATGCTTTAAAAATAGCAGAAGTGCCTAGATCTTTAAAATCTTTGTTTCTCAAATCAGTTGCCTGACTTAAACTGATTTCATTTGCTCTGCTGTTTACAGATATTTTGAACAAAAATATTGTGGTAAAAATCAGTTTTCCTTCCTATTTTTCACCAGACTGTGTCAATTAAAACCCAACTGACAAAGTATCAACCAAAAAAGGATACCTTTTCCAAGCTTCATATTGCAGTGTAAGATTTACTAGCTTGCAAAATTCTTTAAGAAGTTAATTGGGGACTTGCTTTTCAAGCCTGTGCACTCCCTTGAACATGTATCTCACTTGCCGACCTTTTTCTCTGCTTGCTTATTTCTACTCTGGGGAAGACTGTGTTTTCTCTTGAACACACAGTTCTCACTTCCCTCACATCTTTCTAAATAAGTTTCAATAAAAACTACCTTGCTTCACTCCCTCCAAAAACAAACAGCGAATTTTCGAAGGCATTAAAAATGAAAACAACCATCTAAATACAATTCTGTAAAGAAATGTTAACTCAATCAAGACTTCCAACACTAGAGAAGCCATTTCTAAATCTACACCTTGGGGGGGACATCCGGTTCAGACAAGAAAAGAGGAAGAAGTTAAATCACAAGGTTTATTTTGTGAGCACTGCAGGAAGCAACACTGTAGGAGTGATCTGTAAACCAAGATCTGAGATGGAAGCTCTGCCCTGCATTGTTCGGGACCCACCATCTACCCTAGTCATTACTGCAAAAGAGAGCATGGCTACTTAAAAAAAAAGGAAAAGACACAGTACCCTATTATCACAAACCGCTGTGCCAGAACGGACTGCTTACGTCTGAGAGCAGTCCTCTAACCTGTACTGTTAGTATTTTCAATACATCATAAAAAGCAGAATGTTACACATTTGTTTGGGGAATGAGGAGTCAAGAAGTGAAATGGTGGGATCCGCTGTCTGTTTGGGGTTAAGAATTCTTGGAAAATTTGTCAACCTGAAATTTTTAAAGAATTAGTAAAGCATTCTCCAAGAGGACTTAGTAAATCCAATACTTTCTAAGCAAAAGGTTTTAGTATGGATTTAAAAGCAAATCAGAATACTCACAGAATACATACAAATTGAGAGGGAAGGAGGGTCCTGGACAACAAAAATGGTCAAAGAGCCACTTGACATGATTTGGAAATAAAAAGAAGCAGTAATAAAAACCTTGTTTCTATCCAGCAATATCTTATAAAGGCACAATTCCCAGGGCAGGTCTCAGCCACACAGAGGGAGAACAGTGGAGGAAGGAGAGACCACCCACCAGGGCAGCCTTACACTGACGAATGGCCACAGATGAAGGGAGATTTGGCTCATCTCTGGGGTTTTCCACTGGGAAGGAACCTGCAGTTCAGCCATCGGTGGATCACCACCATGTACAAAACCTGTGGGAAATTCACAATCCAAAATGTGGGGGAGGCATGAATCTGCTCAATAATCATGTTCTAAATTTCAGATCTCTCATACTCTATCTCACTGATGTACCAAAAGCAGCATCCATTTGTTTGGGTTTAACATACATATTTGTAATGTCTTATACAAGGGCTTAATGGCCCCAGGATGAAATACAACAATCTTCACACACTTTCCTCTTGTGGTGGTGGGAAGGTGGTGGGATTGGTGTTTGACACTGTCGTCCCATTGTTCATCGATTTGCTCAAGTGGGCACCAGTAACACCTCACAACAAATTGTGAGACTTGTTACCGTTTTTGGCATATCCAATACGTCACGGGGAGCTTGCCAGGCTCTGCCGTGCGGGCGAGATACTCTAGGTAGCTTGCCGGGCTCTCTCAGAGGGGCGGAGGAATCGAACCCGGGTCGGCCACATGCAAGGCAAATGCTCTACCCGCTCTGCTATCGCTCCAGCATGGTGTTTGAATATTAAATGTAATGAATTATTGTGAACAACTTTATAAAAATAAAATTAAATTTTTTTAAAAAGTGGGGTTGGAAAGGAGAAAGTTTGGAAAATGGAAGCATCAAACACAACAACAAAATGTGAAAATATACATGAGGTTTTCAAAAACACATAGATGTATCTCTTAAGATAAAGTGAACTGGCTGGGCGAAAAATAATCTGGGAAGCACTCTGCTATACATTTTTAGGATAACAAATTCAGTTTAATGACATCTGTGAGTTAAAGTCATAGCTGCAAGGAGGAAATAAATTTTCTGGAGAAAAGGGAAAAAAAAACCACTGCAATTATAAGAGCTGGTAATTTACTCAAATAATAAAGGCATCATCTGTGGACTTTGTGGAAAATAACATCAAAGAAGCAAACATACTCACACTCCACTGAAAATTTTTGCTGGCCTAGTTCTACCAGTTCCATTAATGTAACAGTGACCCAAAGGCTGATGACCTGATTGATAAAAAAAGGTCTTCTAGAAAGTACTGAACTTGTCACCAAATAAAGGGTACTGGGAGGACCCTCCCAGGATGGGAGAAGCATGCTGAAAGTAGACTATAAACCAAACATGATTGCCACTCAATGCCTCTTTTGCAAACCACAGAACCCAAAAGGAGAGAGAGAATAAAAGGGAATACCCTGCCACAAAGGCAGGGTGGGATGGGGGTTGAGGGGTGGGAGGGATACTGGGACCCGTGGTGGTGGAAAATGGGCACTGGTGGAAGGATGGGTGTTTGATCATTGTACAATTGAAATCCAAGCACAAAAATCTGTAAATCTACAACTGTACCTCATGGTGTTTCACTAACAAAAATTTTTTTTAAAAAATGTAAATGATGGAGAATGGGCACTGGTGGAGGGATAGGTACTGGATCATTGCCTAACTGAAACCCAAGCACAAAAATTTGTAAGTCTACAACTGTACCTCATGGTGTTTCACTAATAAAAATTTAAGAAAAAAAAAAAAGAAAGTACTGAACTTGTATCATATAACTCACTAAACACTCGACAAAGAAGAAAACTAGTAGAAATAACTAGGGAAACTGTCTTTAAGTGGAGTTGCAAAACTTTCCTAATGAGGCAAAGTACAGTTCAAGTTCAATATAGAAGACAGTCCTAGAGATCTCACCTCTCACCCAGTGCTAATCTATCTCCACTGTGCATTAGGGGAAAGGAGGTAGGAAAGATAGACCAGTACCATTAGTTACCATGGTGGCATGAGGAAAAACAGCTTCACCAACTACCTTACCTCTTAAGGAAAGAAAAATTTGTACCATGTTTTAAGAATGCAGTCCTCAAAACTCTCTTTGTATCTCCTACTATGTTACTAACACAAACTTTCCAAATACAGATATAAAAAACTCAATGTATATACATCATGCTTAAGACTTCCAAGAATAGAAAGGGTGGGGATTTATTTTCAGAGTGAATAAATGAAGGATTGGTACTTAGAGTGACGAGTAGTCAAATACAGATTCAAGAGAAGCTAAGATCATTTTCCTATTCATGGATCCAAATGATATAGGCAAGGACTGCATCATTATACCACTTGAAATTACTGTTTAAGCAACAGTTAAGATCCTATAGTTTGTGTCTGCCTGAAAATCCTTCTTATCTCTTGACTATAATTCAGCTACATACTTAATAAAGAGAACTACTCATTAGAGATTTTTTTTAAGTGTCTTTGTTGGCTTCTACCTGGATCTGACCCTTGCTCCTCTCTATCACAGGAAACTACATTTTCCAGGCAACCTTGCTAACCAACTTCTGAGTAAGTGCTATCACTGGGAGTCACTGATAAGGGCAGGGGTGGGGGAATGTTTGGCTAAAACGTTTTGCTCCCTCCTTCCCTCCCTCTCTCTGTTCTCTGTTTTCTCTCTCTGTTTTCTCTCTCTCTCTCCCTCTCTCTCTCTCTCTCTCTCCTCTCTCTTCCAACTGCCACCTGTGTTCTTTTCATGCTTTCAGCTTCAGCTTTTGGAGACCCCAGAAACATCTATGTTCCTTAAGGCACATCAGCTCAAGGTGTTGCTAACGTTGTCTCCTAAAGTCGTCTCACCAGCCTATTTACCTTCTCCACTCATATCACATAAGCATCTTATTCCATGTTAAAGTTCTTCTACTTGTATGACTTAGAAATACCGTATGTTTCCCTGACTAATCCCTGATTTAAAATAAATTTTAAAACTTACAATCTACAGATGTCTTCTTTTATTTTTTTTGAAGGGGAGATGGGTTTTCGAAATAATGGTGGTGGCAAGATGTAGCAGTGGTGGGACTGGTGTTGGAATATTGAATGTAATAAATTATTGAGAACAACTTTAAAAAAAACTTACAATCTATAGATGTCTTCTTTTTGTTGAGAGGCCCTGGGAGGGTGGGGAATCCACTCCCAGTGGTGCTCAGGGGTTATTCCTGGCTCTGCACTCAGGAATCACTCCTGGTGGGCTCAGGGGTCTATATGCTGTGGATGGAATTCAGGTCGGCCACATGCAAGGCAAGCACCCTACCCACTGTACTATCTCTCTGGCCCAGAAGATGTCTTCTAATAGGAACAAAATTTTTATAAATGACAAAATCAAATAATTTATCCAAACATTTCCTGGGAGCCTGATCTGTGCCAAGCACTACTCTAAGCTCTGAAAATACTACCGTGGACAAAACAGGCACAAAATCCTGCCCTGCCCTCAGAGAGCTTACATTCTAGCGGACATAATCACTGTGGCAAATTACAATTTAAAAGTTTCTCAAGAAAAGAATATTTCTTTAACAATAGAGGAATTTGGCAAAAGTGAATTAACTTTAACGTGGTCTATGCTACGTAGACTTGGTTCCTACCTTTTCAATGTGGTATGCTGAACTGTCACATTCCAGAGGCCAATACAGAACTTCTTCAAAGTTAGTATCTACTTAAACTGGCCACTTGCGCACACAGAAGTACAACTGTGATAAGGATTTAAGCAGACACAATAACAAAAGTTAGGCACTGAATGCTTAGAATATAAAATACGTGTGCTTGCTTTAAGTTGATTTTTGCTTGGCATCTTTTTCACGGGGGTGGATATCTTTGGAGGAATTAAGTTTCAATCAATGTAATAGAGCACCTTAGGGGGCCAGAGGGAGCTCTGTGAGCGTAAACTTTGCCTGCGGGAGGCCAGGGTTCAATCCGGGGTTCAATCCCTGGCACAGCATGGTCCCCCTAGCACTGCTGGGAGTGATGACAACATACAGAACCACGTGCAGCCCTAAAACAAGTAAGTGACTTACTTGATCCTTCCTCAATGCCTCAAATAGATTTCATCAATATAAAACATACAGAGTCAACTATAGAGCCTATGAGTAAAGTGTTGCCAATTGCATCACACTATTTCCAAGACAGTATTTTCAGGCAAAAGAATAGAAACAGACAATGACTCATGCGGTGAACAGTTATATAGACAACTGTGCCCGAGAAAGCTGCCACCTACATGCCATAATGACATCAGATGAGGAATACGAAAAGAAGATAGTTTTCTGATATATTTGAAAGCAATAGACTTGCTAAGAAGTAGACTGAAAGATATACTGAAAGACCAGTTTGTTCAAACTAAGCTATCAGCGCTCAAGAAAACACATCAACTTATTCAGTATGCTAAGCCTTCTTGGGCATAAAAGCAGCATATTCAACCTGGAGGGATGGTACAGTGGGCAGGACACTTGCCTTGCACACAGCTGACCTGGGTTTGATCCTTGGCATCCATATGGTCTCCTAAGCCAAACCAGGAACGCAGAACTAGGGTAAGCCCTGAGCACTGCCAGTTGTGCACTCCTGCCCGCCCCAAATCCCACCAAACCTTAGAGTTCCATTTGCGTAGTAGATGGACTTCTAATTCTATGGACTTCATACATGACTGGGAGACTAAAAAAAAATATATATATATGTATATATATATAATATATATATGGGCTGTATATATATATGGGCTGTATATATATACAATATATATATATGTATATATATATAATATATATATGAGCAATAGCATAGTGGATAGGGCATTTGCCTTGCATGCGGCCGACCTGGGTTCAATTCCTCTGCCCCTCTCAGAAAGCCCAGCAAGCTACCAAGAGTATTCAACCCGCACGGCAAAGCCTGGCAAGCTACCTGTGACGTACTGGATATGCAAAAAAAAAAAAAAAAAAAACAGTAACAACAAGTCTCACAATGGAGACATTACTGGTGTCCACTCGGGCAAATCAATGAATGGGAGGACAGTGCTACAGTGCCACAATTACACACACACACACACACACACACACACATATATAATCCCAATGTCATATTTTAAGTCCACAACAGACCTAGGACTTTAAGCTTATTGGCCTATCAGTCAATAACCTTATTTCTCGGCCTTTCTGACATGTAGGCAAATTACACTTAAGAATCCCCTCCACACAACGCACGCATGCACACACACACACACACACACACACACACCAGCACTTCTTGGTATCTTGGTGCATTGTGTTTCCTCTATCTGCAATATAAAGTCCTCTAAGCTTACCCAGTAAAGGCATGCTTATCATTCAAGACACAACCCACTTATCTCTTTGAAGCCACAACTTCCTGAGTCAAAACTTGTTTGCTTTCTTCAATGCTTTCATTTCTCCTTTTCCACAATGGCATAATGATAATTATACTACACCATGTATCTGTTTGGACATCTGCTTCCCCATTAGACTCTAAAATTCTAAAACCAAAGAACCAAAGGTTCTATCTTTCTCTCTCTCTCTCTCTCTCCCTCCAGCACCACCTTGTATGTTTGTGTGTGTCTGTGTGTGTGTCTGTGTCTGCGTGTGTGGTTTGGGGGCCACATCCAGCTACGCTCAAGGTTTACTCCTGACTCTGTGCTCAGTGATCACTCAGAGATGATATGCGGTGCCGAGGATCGAACCTGGGTCAGTTGCCTACAAGGCAAAGCTCCTGCTCTATGTCCTAATTCTCCAGTTCCCATAGATCCTGTCTTTCAGTGCAGATAACCTGATAAATGTCTGACACAAAATTAGGTCCTTAAGAAATATTTTCTGAATAAATATATACAGTAGAATAAATAATATACAGTGTGGTACTGAAACACTGCAAAGAGTCCCCCCTAAAAGATAATGACGTTTTGTATTCTTTATCTCAGTGCCACAGGACAAAAGAATAAATAAGAAGTTACTTCCCGTGGAAGAGGTTAAAAAGCTACTATTAAAAATAATATACTGGGAATTTTGATAAATTATTTGTAGTAAACTGTTATCAGTCTAATATAAGTATCAGCTGTATAAGCTGTGAAAAAAAAGAAGTTATTTGATCATGGACAGAAAAGAATATGTGTCAGCTAGAAATGGAAGCACAATACTGTGTTGCCTAGAACTGGTGGATTTTTTTTTAACTTCTCAAAGGTACTAGATAGAGCAAAATAATTAAAAATTGATTAAAATGCTCATGTCCTATGGAATTTTATTTAACCAGCGATGAATTACATAGCTATTAATAGAAAACAAATATAAAGCAAAGCCAGAGATCAATTTACTGGAATTAAATTTCAGAACTGCTATTAAGCATTTCTACACAATGATTCCCTGATTCACTCTTTCATACAAGTTTGATGAGTCAAAAATATCCAGGGACCATCCTCAAGAAGCATAAAGTACATTTGTAAAAATATCAGAACCCCCATAGATAGGGAAAGATTTTGGCTTAAAGATTAGGGAATTACTGGGTGACTCATTCAAACTGTGGTTTCCAGAAGCCACAGTATTTAAAAAGGAAAAACATCATGAATTAATATAACAAAATCAAGATAAAAGACCAGAAATGATAATAATAATATGTATATTCTAACATATTCTAATTGCTTTATGAGCAATTTTCCTTTTTTCAAAGAAAGAAAATTACTGAGAATGTTAGATGCTGTGTTGAAAGTTCCGACACTAAAATAAATGAGGGCAAGAGGTTTAACTGAATATTCTACCACCAAATCTGTATCTCCTTCCACATCTATGCTTCTTTACTTCTTTGTCATCTGAAAGGTGGGCTTATATGTGCTATGAATGGGTTAGAACACTTTCTAAGACGCCTTCAACGACAGCAGATGTCTTCTCAGTTACTTAAGCGTATCTTTCCACTTACTCAAGATACCCTAGGGATAGTCTTAGAAAATAACTTCAAGGAATGAAGATGCTCTATAATATGTATATTAAAAAAAAATTCATTTTTCTATGCTGGACTATTAGCTGAAAGAAACTATGTGGGTGAAACACAATTATTTGCATAAAAGCAAAATAGGAAATGGATTTAAGTGTAGTTTGTTTATGCAAAAATTGTTTTATACAAGTCTCATAAGAAAATCCTGCAGTGTTTTTTCCAGTAAAGAAAAATGATGGCAAAAGGATCAACTTTTCACTATACACATTCCCTTTTAAACCTTCTGAATTTTCAGCCACCTGAAAGTGCTACCTTTTTCAAAATGTAATTTAAGTTTAAGAATATATAATAGAGGGGTTGGGGCGATAGCAAAGCTGGTAGGGCGTTTGCCTTGCATGCGGCAGACCCGGGTTCGATTCCCAGCATCTTGTATGGTCCCCCCAAGCACTGCCAGGAGTAATTCCTAAATACATGAGCCAGGAGTAACCCCTGTGCATCGCCGGGTGTGACCCAAAAAGAAAATAAATAAAATTATCTAATAATATATATATATGAGTGGAACATAAGAATGTTAGGTTATTTCAGGTGAAACATCTCAGAAATTGAATAAAGTTTTAAAAAATTACGAAGTATTGGTCAGTTTCCAAAATTCCTGTGATGTTCCTTTCTAAAATAAATATTTCTCAAAATCAGATTTCTTCCATTCTAATTCTTTTTACCCATTTAATAGCTTTCATTATTTTATAACCCTTGATAATGAAGGAGGAGTATACAAAAAACAGACACAAGTATTTGGGTCACCAAAGAAGTAGAGGCTTCAGGGTAAATGAAGAGTCTGAAGAGATTTATTAGGACCTACAGACTAAACCTGAAGCAGTACGAGCCCAGGGTTTGTGAAAAAGAAAGAAAGAAAGAAAGAAAGAAAGAAAGAAAGAAAGAAGAAAAAAAAGAAACTGGCTTTAATTAGATAGGGTTACTCATCATTGATATATTTAGAATTTTCTGTATTTTGCCCTCTATCCTACCACTACTTAAGTCAGTCCAAATAGTTCCAGATAAGTTGGGGTAATAAGGAAACTACATCTTTAGTTCTAAAGAAAGTTTGAAAATTTCCCTTTTTTAAAGGCAGTACCAAAGTTGCCTTCTTTCCTGTACAGAATTGCTTCACTGCTTAGAGATTCTGGAAAATGGTGAGTCTTGTGATCAAGAGAGCTAAAAAGCTCAGTCAACAAAATCTGTATTACATGAACAAATGCTTGTCCTCCATTGTGTTCAAGTTACATATCTACAGATAATGTAATTCTTGTTGTTGTTGCTGTTGCTTCTGTTTGGGGGGGCATACCAGACAATTCTAGGGGCTTACCCCTGGCTCTGCAATCAGGAATCATTCCTGGCTATGTTCTGGGACCATATGAGGTGCTGGGATTGAACCCAGGTTGGCCACATGCAAGGCAAGCGCCCTCCTCACTGTAATATCACTCTAGCCCCCAGATAACATCATTCTTAAATAAGAATAAGATTTTAAAAGAAAGAGTCATTGCAGAGAATGAGGGAGGAGGGGGGGTAAGAGTGATACCTCACCCAACTGTGCTCAGGATTTACTCCTTTCTGGTTCTGTGCTCGGGGATCAATCCTAGAGGGGCACGGGGATCTCATCAAACCTGGGTTGCTATACAAAATATTATTTCTCCAGCCTCAAAGAATTATTTTTGAAACATAATTCCTGCTTATAGTTCTATAGTCCAGGGTTCATCATCTGATTCAATACTAATGAATCAGCAATCACCACCAGGTACTACACAATTAGCTCTCAATTTCTAAGAAAGAACATGAAACACACAGATAAACTCAAATCCAAATCTTATTTAAAGAAAATCTTTAAAATTCTTCTCCTACCATGTTTTTTAAAAAACAGAACTCGTCACTTAATCTAGTGACGAAAGTTCTCGTCCATGATATCTGATATGTCCACATGATCTCTACAATAACCAAAATTAGGCAAAGGTGGGGGGGGTGGAGAATGAGCGAGAGTGGTTGAAAGAGTCAAAGAAGCTAGACAGTTCATGAACTGGACAAATAAGAGACCACAATAACTGTCTTACATAACTGAATGATGACTAACACACTGTCATCTCATTTTTAATCAATGCCCAACTCATGAAAGCCACCAAGCCAAAGAACAACTCCGAAGGCAATTCTTTTAGGAATCAGGATTCTGCCCATGGATAGTTAAGGCTTACAAGCCAATAGCTACTATTTTTCACAAAGCATTAACTAATGCTTCATTACCCAATCCCCAGTAATGTTACTGATAAAGAACACTGAAAAAAAAATATTGAAAAGTAATGGACCACCTCTCTTCCATCTGTTCTATTTGACTGGAATATGAGTAAGACTGAGAGAGGTATGAAAAGGGCAGGAGTACAGTCCAAGTGGTAGAGCACTTGCCTAGCATATGAGGCCTGAGTTCAAAGCCTAGTACCTGGTGGCACCTATTAAGAGAAGGGGTGGGGAGAGGGAGAGGGGAGCGAGGAAGAAGAAGCAGAAGCAGCCTGAGAAAGTGGGAGTATGGGCTGGAGATACAATTCAATGGGCTGAAGCACATGCTTTGCATGAGGGAGGCCCAGGTGTGATTTCTGGCACTGGATGGTCCCTTGAGCAAGGCCAAGAGCAACCCAGGACACACAGCTGGGAGTAGCTTCCGGGCAATGCAGGATATGAATTTTAAAAAAGAAAAAAAAAGAAAAAGAAAAGGAAAGAAATGGGGGGGGGGGGAGATGTGGGTAGTATTAATCATTAAAATGGCATCTGACATCCCCAAATGTAGCAATGCTTTACTTTAGTGGGTGGTTTCACTTTGACTCAAGATTGGTCAAGTGAGGACACAAGGGAGTTTTAGCAAAGTTCCTAAGAGATACGCTCTACCAATGTAAATTCTCAGAAAAGAGGTCTGGGAAACTACATTCTTAATGAACACCATTCATCTATCCGTAAAGGGCACTAAAATATAACACCAAGACTGGGATGTAACACAGCAATGGGGCACCTTCTTTGCACATGTGAAGCCCTGGGTTTGATGCCCAGAACAAGAACAAATGAAACAAATACACCGTTAAAGTATCCAAATCAATGTCATTCCCTTGTTCTTGTATCTTATTTTTATAAAATTAAAAATACTACCTGAAAACATTGATTATGTACTTTCTTCACGTTGACAAATACATCAGAATACCTGTTGTATATTATATGCTCAGTATGCTTTAAGTCAAACGAACAACCCTCCTACATGGACTGAATCATGAACAAAAAAGTAAATTAACAATCTGGACAAAAGTAAATTAACAACAGTTCCCCACACGAAACTATCCGTTTCTGCTCCAGTCAAAGGAAAAATAACCTTCCCAACCCCTCCCATCATATTCCACACTATTCTGAAAGGAAAATAAGGACGCGAAATATTTACAGAAGCTACTAGTCTCTTTACATTTCAGAGGCAAAACATTTCCCTGAAAACCTGGCCCTCCCAACAGACTCTTGTTTAATTGTATCCAATCATGAATCTCGGGAGAACACAGAAAACAAAGACGAGACGGCTCTGCCCGTCGATAACGATCACATTTCACTTCCCGAGGAGCAATCGTCAGGGAAGCAACAAAACTGGTGCATCCTTTTTGCTTTCTTCCCACCACAATCTGCTCCTTGGGTCACACCGCACTCTGCCTGGTCCGGGCGAGCGGCCCGATCCCGCAGCCAGGGCGGTGCAGAAATCCGCACTGTGTCCCTGCAGGAGGCACTTTCCCCTTGCAGGAGCTCGGGAAGCAGCAGGCCACCTCGGCCAGCTGTCAGCGCTCAGCCAGGCTGCAAAATGACAGCAGGAGCTGCGAGCCAGAGCAAGGCAGCCACAAACCCCACCTTTGCAAAGCACTTCAGCAGTTTTCTCCGTCATTTCGCAGCAACCCCCACCCCCCACCACCTCTCTCTCTCCATCTCTCTCTCTCACACGCACACGCACACGCCGGTTCACCCCGCGGCGTGCAAAGCTCCGAGCTGTCACTCCGAGCCCTGAAACCCAGGCATTCTCACCTGCACACCCCCACGACACTTCCATCCTCCCCCGCTCTCCCCAAACACGTACGCTCACCCGCGCCGCCTCTCCCCCACACCCCGTCCTGCGCTGCAGAACCCCGAGCAGGCTCCGGAGCCACAGGGGCACGCGCCCCCGCTTGCAGGACGAGGTGGACGGCCTGCGCGGCCCCCACCCCCGGCTCCCAGAGTCCCGCTGCCCTGCCCTACGCCCTGCCCTACGCCCACCCACCCACCCCACCCCACCCCACCCCACCCCACCCCACCCCCAGCGTCGCCGGCCCGCAAGGATGCGCTACCTTTAGACTGGCAGTCCGCGCAAAACTTGTTATCCTCCTCCAGCAGCAGGTTGGCCAGGACCGCCTGGTACCGATCCACGTCCTTCACCGACTTGCCCGTCATGGCCAGGGCGCCGGCGGGGGCAGAGGGCGACGCGCCCTCCCGGCCCCCAGCAAGCCCTGCCTGAGCTCCGAGGCGACGACCCGCGGCCCCCCAGCCCGGGGGGCGCCGCCTGAGCCGGGCGAGGCTCTCCCGAGGGCCCCGGCCCGGCGCCCCCTCTCCTCTCCGCTCGGCCGCGCCCGCCCCCCACTCCGCAGCCCCCCGGCAGGCTTCAGGAAAGGCCCGCGTCCAGGGCAGAGCGCCGGACCGGCGAGCCCGAGCCCCAGGCCAGGGCGCTCTCGGTCCTCCGGCGGGCACCGGCCGCCCAGACCACGGCCCCGTCTGCCTCTGCCGGCCCGAGTCCCGCGCCTCGGTTTCCCTAGCAGCTGGCGCCCGCTCCGCGCCACCTCGGCCGCCTACTTCCGGCAGCTCTTCCTCCCCACCCAGCCCCGCGCGCGCATGCGTCCCGCAGGCCCCGCCCCCGCCGGGCTCCGCCTTCGGCCCCGCCCCCCGGGAACCGCCGGGGCCGGGGCTCGGGGCGGACCTTGGCCCGGAGCGAGCGGGGCGCGGACGCGCCCCTGGCACGCCCTTGGGCGGGGATGAATGGAGCCTGGCAGGAAGGGAGCCGAGCGAGGGGAAGGGGGAAAACCGGGAGCATTTCCTGCGCTCTTGCTAGGTGCTAGGCACGGTGCCAAGCACTGTACATGAATTAGCACGATAGATCACAACGTCCGTATGTGTTACTTAATCAACCTTATGTAACCCGAGAGTTGTAGATCTCTCTAGAAAATTTCCTTCCCTCGCTAGACCGGCCCCAATTCCAAAGCCCAGTATCAGGGAAAAATCAGATCCTGCTTAATTTTCAGAGGATACCGGTGTTCTCTCTCTCTCTCTCTCTCTCTCTCTCTCTCTCTCTCTCTCTCTCTCTCTCTCTCTCGCTATCCCTCTCTCTCAATGCTTACTCCCACCACGAATTCGGAATTCCCCCTGTTCATTACTTTTCTTCTAAGTACTGCCATCTTTGGAATTATATTGTCTGGTTCCTAGACTCCGTCATCTTCCATTCCTTTAGTCCTCCCCAAACCATGTACTTTTGGGCAACAGACCTTCCTTAACTGACACTGTTACGGGAGTGGTGCCATGGGAGGAAGGATGCTTTTAGTGCAGGTTAAGGGACTACTTTTTTTTTTTAATTTTTTTATTCGTGAAACACCATGAGGTACAGCTGTAGACTTAACAAATGTTTGTGCTTGGGTTTCAGTTATACAATGATCGAGTGCCCATTCTCCACCACAACTGATCCCAGTATCCCTCCCACCCACCCTTATCCCACCCCACCTCTGTGGCAGGGCATTCCCTTTTGTTCTCTCTCTCATTTTGGGTGCTGTGGTTTGCAACAGAGGCATTGAGTGGCAGTCATGTTTCAGTCTATAGTCTACTTTCAGCATGCATCTCCCATCCTGGGAGGATCCTCCCAACACCCTTTATTTGGTGTTCCCTTCTCTATCTGAGCTCCCTTTTTTAGGGGACTACTTTATTTTTTTTTCCTTTTTTTCTTTTTTGGGTCACACCTGGCGATGCAAGGGGTTACTCCTGGAGGAGTAAGGCAGGGGGTTACCTCTGGCGATGTAACCCCTGGCGATGCAAGGGGTTACTCCTGGCAGTGCTCAGGGGACCATATGGGATGCTGGGAATCGAACCCTGGTCGGCCGTATGCAAGGCAAACGCACTACCCACTGTGCTATCTCTCCATCCCCTAGGGGACTACTTTAAATGAAGATTAAAGGTTATGATCAGGGGCTGGAGAGATAGCACAGTGGGTAGTGCGTTTGCCTTGCATGCGGCCGACCCGGGTTCGATTCCCAGCATCCCATATGGTCCCCTGAGCACCACCAGGAGTGATTCCTGAGTGCAGAGCCAGGAGTAACCCCTGTTCATTGCCGGGTGTGACCCAAAAAGCAAAAAAAAAAAGTTTATGATCAAAGCCATTATTGTTTGGATGCAGGAATTGTCAGTAGCTGTCATTTTCTTTTTCTTTTTTTTTTTTTCAGTTGAATCACTGTGAGATATACAGTTACAAAGTTGTTCATAATTGGGTTTTGGTCACACGGTGTTCCAACACCCATCCCTTCAGTGTAGATTTCCCACCACCAATGTCCCCAGCTTTCTCCCCGTCACCCCACCCCCACCCCAAGCTGTCATTTTCTGAAGGGAGCTACCTGCCATCTGGCAAATTACCTTCACCAATTCACTCAGCAAGTTGATACTATAGAGAAACCGCTAAGCATCGTTTATTGTACTGGATGGAGGGGCAACTGGTGTTTTCTTTTTAATTTATTTTATTTTTATAAAGTTGTTCACAATAATTTCTATCACTTATCACTATCACCCTGTTGCTCATCGATTCGCTTGAGCAGGCCCAGTAACGTCTCCATTCATCCCTGTCACGTGCTAGTGTAGCCCGATGACATATTGGGGGCTCCTTCAGGATCAGGGGAATGAGGACCATTCATTGTTACTGTTTTTGACATATCAAGTACGCCACGGTTAGCTTGTCAGGCTCTGCCGTGCGAGCTGGATACTCTCGGTAGCTTGCTGGGCTCTCCGAGAGGCATGGAAGCGTTTGGGGCAGCCTCTAATCACCTTTACAGGTGTTCCTAGTCAGGCATATAGGCAGGTATGATATTCCCAGTAGCCTGCCAGGTTCTCTGAGAGTAAGAACTAGAGAATAAGAGGTCGCACTGCCGTGAATGCAGCTGTGCGCTTCTTGGAGCTTGGTTTTAGAGTCTCTGGATCCTGCCCATTGATGGGGTTACACGGCAGTTGGTGGGTGTAACTGTCTAGCTACTGGAAGGTGAGGGAGCTGGGTGAAGGAGGCCCAGTCCTGAACCGAGCAGGCTTGGAGATCTCAACCCCGGGTCCCGCACACCTGGGTTCCTCTGCCGGTTCCTCGTCCAAGCGTGTAGAGAGTGGTCTCAGCATGGCTTTGGCTGGGTTCTGGAGGTCTTCAGCTGTCGGGGTTCTACTCAGGGTGGGGAGGGAAACTCTCTTACACCTTCCCATCACCATTATTTCAAATTTTCCCAACCACCAAGGGCAACAGTTTTAAAAGATCACTCTGCCTGCCATGAAAAAACTAACCAGGGAAGCTGGTTAAAATCCAATTCCTTAGAATTATTGCTAGTGAAATCCTCTCCTCCATCCCTTTACTTTCTACAAGATCAAACTTTCTCAAAACTTTCATCTCATCAGAATAAAATTAAATTTTCTAATATTTTTTAAGCAATTTAACTTTTGGTCTATCCCTCTAGTGTTCTAAATTATGACTAGAAGACCTGATTTTCCTAAATACAGAAATCATTAAGGTTTTTTTTTTCCCTAGACAAATGTTTACCTCTTTCTCTAGGAATTCTGCCTTCTAAGTTAGTGTTGTCAATCTGAAATAAGTTTGTAACGATTTTCTTATTTTAATTTTTGTTTTTGGAGTATACCCAATGGTTCTCAGGGGCTACTCCCAGCAAGTTCAAGGAATTTTTTGGTAACAGGTGTTGAATCCTATCCTTCAGCTTGCAAAGTATATACTCTAAACCTTTGACCTATCTGCCCAGTTCTTTAACGTTTAATACCAACTTTATAAATGAACACACTGTTACAGAAAATAAATTAATTTTCTCATCTAATGAGTAGAAGGGCAGGAGCGATAGCACAGTGGTAGGGCCTTTGCCTTGCACGTGGCCAACTTGGCCGACCTGAGTTCGAGTCCTCCGCCCCTCTCGGAGAGCCGGGCAAGCTACGAGAGTATCTCGCCCACACAGCAAAGCCTGGCAAGCTACCCATGACGTATTCAATATGCCAAGCACAGTAACAACAAGTCTCACAACGGAGATGGAGACGGAGATGGAGACCTTACTGGGCCCCCTGGAGCAAATCGATGAACAATGGGAGGACAGTGCTACAATGAGTAGAAAAGCTGGGTTTTTACTGTAGATCTTTGTAATTCTAGAGTATTATCCATTTTTTATGTTATCTTCTGTAATCTCCAGGAAAAACATCCAGATAGATATCACCAGGAACATTTTTTTTTTAATGGCAAACAGATGTTCAAGATTACCCACATAATTATGACAGTTGAGCCTTAATTCAAGTCCTTATCTTCATCCCTTCATTATGCAAATGGACTTCCTGCCTTACTCTACTTCTAATTAAAGCATTCCTCCACCCAACTCTTTAAAGAGAGTTGACAAGTCTGATTGAGTCACCCGCTTCTGCTTAAAAATCCTTTAGTGGCTCTGCATCACCTCAGGCAGTGCTTATCAAATCTTCATGCAGTAAGAGATTGCATAGTCTGATAGTTTAACACACGGGCCAGAATAACTGAGTTTACTTCTTCAGCCTCAGGTCCAAAGAACTGGCTCTGTGACCTGGCAAACATGAGCTCTGGGAGTCCTGGTGCTTCTGCTGCTTGAGCCTGGCAGCTCTGCTGTCTCCGATCCCTGGACTAGTAAACCCAGTTTCTGGCCAGAAGACAGCTAGGACTGTGCGTGTGTACATCTAAGGGAATCAGCCCTCAGTGAGCACTGCAATTAAAGATGTGTGAACACCACAGCCTGGAAGCGTGACCCTGACTAAACAGCCATCCCAGCGAGCACTCCTGCCAGCATGTGAGTGAGCACTGCTGCTAAAGACTCCATCTCCCCTCAAACAGCACAAGTGAAAGGCGTGCAGCCTCCAGCCTGTAGCACAGCCTGGCAAGTTGCCAAAACAACGACATCGACATCGACAAGAAGGAAGGGAAGGGTGGGCGGAACCAAAATTAAAATCTTCAGCTTCACCCATCACTCTCTGTGTGACTCAAGCAGATCATTTTCCCTATCTGTACCCCGGATATTGCATCCGTAAGATGGAAATGGTGATATTAATCGTTTCTATTGTCCAGGATTGTTGTGAGGCTTACCGGGAGATAAAGCCTGTAATATATTTAGAACCACTCTTGGCACACAGTGGGTCATAGACAATTAAGGCTCATCACAAAATGAAACATGTCTCGCTTTCTGCCTTCTGGACAGAAATCTGGTAGGATTTCAATGCTTGGTCCTCTCCTGGGTGGGAGAGGTGGGTGAGGCTGAGCTGAAGGGAAATTGCACTCATTCCTGCTCTTCAGTTCCCTGCTGGACTTTTGCCTCTCTCCCTCCGGCGTGACACTCTCCAAGGTTGAAGGTGGTAGTCATCTTAGTTCAGAAAACCACAGTGGAATTTTCTGGATAGCGGTTTATGAAGAACAGAAACATATTACTCATACTGCTGGGAAGTCCAAGCCCGAGGTGCTGACAGATCCGGCATCTGGCCAGAATCCTCTTCCGGGGTCATATCAGCAATTTTCCCTGTGCATCCTCGCAATGGGAAAGGGGAGGGGGGCAGGAGGGGGAGGGAGGGATGGAGGGAGAACAC